CCTCCCCCTTTTATAATGAGAAAAAGTGCCTCCTTATAAAGAGGTATAACCCCCTCATGAAGAGGTGGAACCCTATGAAGAGGTATCACATTTCCTCACCTCCTTTCATATTATAAGTCGAACATGAAGGAAGTGTGGTCCACTTCGGTATTCCCTCACACTAGGGATGCACACTCATGTCTACAACTCCCACTTATCTCGTATGTGGGAGGGTTATAGGCCGAAACAAGAGTTGTCGCTCATTATCGCATCATGAGTATTCTTTCATATAAAGGGAAAAATATGGTGTGCGACCTACTGGAGCGAACATTCTGTTAGAGAGAACCATACCAAGTTTCCAATCAACTGGCAGGGAATACCTCATCTCTTCAATACCTACGAAATAAAAAACTGCTCCACTTTCCCTAGATCCGATTTGACCACATCGGACTAAGTTCTCAACTAATCCCTTATGAGCCCAGCTCAAAAGATTACTTAGCCCATACGTACACAATCACTGTTAATGCACGTGTAATGTGTACTGTTTTTTTGTGGTACCAAAACAAAGTGTGATATCAAATGGTCTTCCCTTACAACATACATTATTCTACTCTGACTCCGATCATTGTCTCAACAATGTCTCTGACGAGTCTCATACTTGACCCTAAAGAATACATGCCAAAGAGAATGATCGAAGTAAAGTTTCTTAATGCAGTCTAAGGTCTATAAGGGCATCATGGATCACCTACTTATTAGCCTTACACAGTGGCAAAAAAAGAACCTAATCTTCTTTTTCAATCACTTATATAACACATGTGGTATGAATCACACGTCATGATGGATCACATCAAATATGTGTCAAAATCAACACCATGCAGGTTATAGTCTTTTCACAGCCATGCAACTGGTCACCACCCAACACCCCACAATCACATCCATGTGTCAACTTGAACATCCTTGATGTTCATCCCTAACTACTTACAGGCTATATGATCTTCGGGATGTCAATTTGAATTGATCATGTCAAATCCCTTATAGAATCTCATCTCAAACCCTTGGTTGAGGCGATAAATACACCACGTGTATAACTCATCCTCGAATATCCCAGAAATTGAGGGTTGCTAATGCGAGTAGTGAGCTTTGGCCTGCCAACAAATTAAATGATAATCTCACACTATTGTGCTTCTGTATGTATTAAAGTACACAAACCATCCATAAATAACATCCATATTCAATTATAACAGGGTACCAAGTGTAACATAAACTTATAGGGTTCTGAGTCTCATAGTTCTTACATGAGTCTGATGTGCGGTCCTAACAATTGCCTTAGTCATAGGATCCACCACCATTTTAGTTGTAAGAATCTGAGTTAGTACCACATGTCCATGTGTAATAATATCTCGAATATAATGATATCTAACATCAATATGTTTTGACTTTCCGTGGTATTTTGGATCTTCTGCAAAAGCAAGTGCTGCTGTATTATCACAAAATACAGTGACATGCTCATTACTAGTTGCGATGACACCCAAGTTCCTTGGGAACCTTCTCAACCATACGACTTATTGTATTGCTCCACTACAAGCAATATATTCAGACTTCATAGTTGAGAGAGCGACACATGACTGCTTCTTGCTACACCATGAGACTACATCGCCTCTTAGCAAGAAGACATAACCTGAAGTCGATTTACGCTCATTTAGGTCTGCTGCCCAATCAGTGTCACTATATCCCCATAACCGCAAATCGGTTCCTTGGAAATATAGCATATTACTCGACGTTTCTCATCTTTTAACCCAAACAAGTTAAAAAAGACATCTTTTCTTAACTCTCTCCTCAGTTCACTCTCTTTCCTCATGTGTTTCTCTCTCTAGACTGTCCAGGAGCTCAAGGGAAACCTTGCGTTGTGGCTGGCAACCTTGCGTTTTGGCCACAATCTTCATCAAAAACCTCTCTCCAGGTAGGTTAAAAACCCAATCGTTAATGGCGGCGGTCGTAGGTTGCTCTGTTGTTTCTTCGAGGACCAACACTGTGGAAAATCAATTGTTTCATGGATTGAGATCTCGGATGAAGGGATTCAACCTTTCATCCTTAGCTACAGCAAGAACAAGAACCTCGCCTTCATCTTTGAAAGAAGCTTCCTTGGCTTATGGTTTTGATAGGCCTGAGTTGAAGAAGGTATTGACGGAAGGTGATGCTAGATCTTCGCTAGTTTTGGAAGATGAAGTGATAACGCCACTGAATTTTCAAGATTATTTGGAAAGATACAGGGACTTCACAGAAAATGTTGATGACCCTCCTCGCTGGTTTACTCCATTGGAGTGTGGCGCTCCTTGCAAATCTTGTTCAAAGTTCCAGCCAAAATGGTGGGCGGCCAAAAAGGTTCAGTGTGTGAAACCCTAAACCAGAAATTTGTGGGTTCTCCTTGTAAATCCCAATCAAGATTCCAGTCAAAATGGTGGTCGGCCAAAAAGATTCAGTCCATGAAACCCTAAACCTGAAATTTGTGGATTCTCCCTGCAAATCCCGATCAAGATTCTGGCCAAAATGGTGGCCGGCCAAAAATATTAAATTCGTGGGTTCTCCCTGCAAATTCCGATCAAGATTTCGGCCAAAATAGTGGCCTGCCAAAAATGGTTTCCGACGAGCAGGTGAGGGGGGAGATAGAGAGAGAGAGGGGTTTGGGAGGTTGATGGGGGAGAGAAAGGGATCACGTTAAGATAGAAGGGTTTAGAAACCAAGTCATTTTTAAGTTTGTTTGGATAAAAAAAAATTAATAAAAAATAAATAACATATGATAAGGAGGTTAAAAGATATAATAGTGTGAACTTCTTTGTAGTAAGATACGTTTTGCAGCCTTAAGTTGAAAATGAGGTTTATGGAGATATTTTCACTATAATATACGTTTATGAGAACTTTACCCTTTGTATCACAGGCTATTGTTTTTCATTTTTTATTGGGTAATCAGTGGGGTTAGTAACAACACTGTTGGATTCATGCAGTAGATAATCGTTTTTTCAAATAAAAAAGATTTAATTTATATTTTGGAAGTCGGGAGCATATAAAGAACCTATTGGAAGAGGTTGTTTCAAACTAGAAACACTTCAATTGATCATCTCGACCTCGATGTTAGACATAAAAAAAAAAGGATTTTGAGTATCAAAATAGTACATCCCGTAGTGCACCATCATATTCATTTTTAACACTTATAAATCTGTTCGATCTGTACTATTTTTTGAGCTTTAAATTTTATATTTAAGGTTGAAAATGGATTTCAAGGCCATTGTAAAAGTTTCGGCATTGAAACTATATTTTTAGATAAAATTTGGAGGTGCGCCTTACTTTTATTATAAACCGCACCCGTATTCAAAACAAGATCTCTCTCATTGGTTTACAGAGGTCTATTTTATGCTTGCATCACAGTGGGCAGTAGAGACATGATCTAAAGCACTTCTCTAAATAAACATCATCATGAATTAAAGTTGAATAAAGAAGCTTGATCACAATCTTGGAAGAGCTTTCTCTTTTCTCCTTTGAATAAAGAAGCTTGATCACAATCTTGGAAGAACTTTCTCTTTTCTCCTTTGCCTTTAATTATTCAATGTTCACATCTAATCACTTTGATGCTCATACTTTAGTGTAATGGTCTATGAATGGCGATTCAAGAAAACAAAGGTGTTGACCGAATGATTAGCATTGTGGCCTAAATGAATACCTGAATGAGTTTTTGCTCTCGTAGGAGCATACTGTTCATTTGCTCCCTCAGAAAATTTTCATATAGGTGTATTTTTAGGAACCCAGTTTTCTGGGAATGACCATCTTCAAATTAGGGACTAATTTTTGAAAAAAAAAAAAAAATGTGACCGAAAAAAATAATGTCCTAAAACTGAATGTACAAGGTCCAGGTTTTAGACGACCAAATCTAAGTGTTAAAGAACTAAAAAATCTATGTTATTGTAATAATCATTAGTGATTCTCAAGTTGATCCCATAATTTCGGATAAAAAAAAGTCCTCCTAAGTAGTTTTTTCTCACGAGAGCAATTGGAATGGGAGAATAATGTACATGTTAAAATTGTTATAAAGAATCAACCTACACATGAGTCTTGTCTTTTACATCTTTGATGGAAGCTTCAAAACCTGTCTATTTGTTGGATGGTGGCTCCTGCTCGAGCTAAGACTCTGTATTATTCATTTTGTGACGATAAGATCTCTAGTTTTACGAATTCAAAATCATTTTTTTCTTTTTTTGTTGAGATGATCGTAACTTAAGCAAGATTTCTAGCCCTAAAAATGGTCCCTACATGGTATTCGATGTTTCTATCAACATTGTGGTAATGGACATCCCTGTCTATGGGATGTACATACAATTGCTATATAAAAGGAAACCAAATTGAAGGAATTCAAGCTGTAAAGAATGGTGGGGCACCAAATTGAAGGAATCCAAGCTGTAAAGATGTTAGTGAAGCCAAGTGCTACGATTAAAAAAAGAAAAAGGGAAAAAGAAGAAGGACTTATTTTGAAGCTTCTTTGGATACTTTTGAAGCTCAGCAGATGAATGCCTTACTTATGAATAAAGGCATAAGTGTTTCGGGCATAAACATTTATTCATTTTTTAAATAGGGAATGTACACTTTTGAGACTATTTATTTTTTATACAAGAATATCAAAATCACTTATAGCCATCAAATGTAAAATCTGACAGCTTGGGGTATTGGCATAAAGTTTAAAAATCTTCTTTTAGATTTTGAGCCTAGTCAGTTGGACACGCCCTGCCACTTTCTTTCACATCCAACGGCAATGGTTGCTTGTGGCCTTGTTTAAAAAGCATATGGTCTTATTATATACTTCTCCTTTCAAATAAGTAGGGAGAGAAAAGAGACATTTGAATGGTAGTCAGTAAATGAGTTGCTCAAATGGAGGAGAGCAAATGTCTTGGTCAATGACCATAAATTGAAAAGATACTTCCTCTCATGATTATTAATCCTTCTAAACTGGGCCCTAGATTGAACAAGTCCATCTTTTTGAGGTAGTTTCAAGGCTTCAAGTTCAATCTCAGATACTTGAGAGAGGCCTAAGCATCAGGAGTTTTGAGTGCAAATCCTTGGAGTGGAATCACAACTGTAAAGCTAAACAAACAATTCATGGAAAAAGCTTCACCTCTCTTTAATTGGAATCATTTCGAAACAATGTCACTGGCCACTCCTGTCGATAAATAGTTGGTGTAGGGGTAAGAACATGAGAGAAGAAACCTAGCATTTGATATTCCATGGAGAAAACTACGTCCAAGTAGAGTGTATGTCACAGAGAGATGGCAGAGCCTGTTGTATCATTTTTGCTGACAAAATTGGACCAACTTCTCACTGAAGAAGTTCAGCTCCTTTCAGGAGTGAGCAATGATGTTCGATGGATCAACGATGAGCTCCGTAGCATCAAAGCATTCCTAAATGATGCTGATAATGTTAGAGAGACAAATACATCTGTGAATGCTTGGGTCGAACAAGTACAAGATGTTGCCTACGATGCTGAGGATGTCCTTGACACATTCATCATTCAAATTGCCAGGTTACAAAGGAGGAGAGGATTCATGTGCCGACCTTGTTCTTGTATCAAGGAGCTATACATCAAGCACAATGTTGCAACTAAGATCAAGACTATTAGATCACGTGTTGATGACATTGCAAATAGAAGAGAGAGACTTGACCTTCGAATGAGAGAAGAAGGCAGCTCTTCAAGTGTCAGTGCTTCAACAAGTGCTTATTTACAAGCGATTTCTGATTTGGTTGAGGAAGTCGACATCGTTGGAGTAGAGAATAAAGTAGAGTTAATAGAAGGATGGCTACAAGAGCCACAACTCCAGGTAATCTCCATATATGGTATGGGAGGATTAGGTAAAACCACTCTTGCCAAAAGAATTTATAATGGTGAAATTGTTAAGAACCATTTTCATTGCCGTGCTTGGGTTACTGTTTCACACTCTTCCACAGCGAAGAAAATTTTAACAACTATCCTAAGAGGGTTTCTCAAAGATGATAAGGAGACTTTCAAAGGTGCGGAAGAGATGGAAGACAGGGATTTACATGAGAAACTCCACACATGTGTAAGTGGTAAGAAATATATTGTAGTATTGGATGATGTATGGGATGAAGATGCATGGAAAGTGGTTCATAGTTCGCTTCCAAATGTACAGAATGAAGGGCGTTTTATTATTACAACCCGTAAAGGAGATATTGCTTTTCCAATTCATGTAATGAGCAGAGTGTACAGGCTTGGACGACTATCAGAATATGATGCATGGTCTCTATTCTGCAAGAAGGCATTTTGGATGGAAGATGGGCAAGCCTGTCCCTCAGAATTGGAGAGGGAAGCACGACTCATAGTTCAGGAATGTGATGGACTTCCCTTGGCGATTGTCGTCATTGGTGGTATGATGTCTAAGCAACCTCGGACAATATCTAGTTGGGTGAATGCTTACCGTAGTCTTGGATGGGAGTTGAGCAACCATGAAGGGTTGAGAGCCGTTCTAGCGCTAAGTTACAAAGATCTGCCACCTTTCTTGAGGCATTGTTTCTTGTACTGCTGTTTATTTCCGGAGGATTATGAGATTCCTCGATCGAAACTGATTAGGCTATGGGTTTCAGAGGGATTCATAGAAAGAAGGCAGGGCATGAAAGAAGAGGAGGTAGCCGGAATTTATTTTAGAGAACTATTGGATAGGAGTTTGATTCATGTCGAAGAAATTGGTGAAACTGGGCAAGTCAAACTGTGTCGAGTACATGATGTGGTGCGGAAGCTAGGTCACTCTTTGTTTGAGAAAGAGAATTTTGGGGCATATAGTGTTGCCACAAGTAGTAAACTCGGCGATAGATGTCGACGTGTCTCGGTCCAAAATGCTGAGCCATGTGTGCCTATAGAAGCGAAAATGTCTCATCTTCGAACATTTTTCATGTTTGGTATAAGAGCCTCATCACCTTCATATTTGTCTGACTTGTTTTCTAAATCTAGATATATGAGGGTGTTGGACCTAGAAGGCATCTATATTGAGCATTTGCCAGATGAAATAGGATACCTCATTCATCTAAGGTACATTGGGCTGCGATATACTGGTATTAAAGAAGTTCCGAGGTCTTTGGCGAAATTAAGAAGTTTGCAAACTCTAGACTTGGAAGGATTCCACGGAGAATTGCCTAGTGGAATATCAGAAGTCGATACTCTGATATATTTGAGTGCATCTCACAAGTTATTTCGAAATGGCTTAAGAGTTCCAAATGAAATCATCAGGTTGACAAACCTCCAGATACTGAAATTCATACGAGCTGATTCAAATATTGCGAAGGACTTGGGGAACTTAACATTGCTTACAAAATTATATGTTCAGCTACAGAGCAGTGAAGATGGAGAGAAATTGTGTGAATCCATTAAAAGGATGCAGTCACTCCGGAAGTTACATGTTTCATCGTTAGGCATCCACTCCCTTCTACAGATCGAAACCCTGGAACCTCCCCACGACACTCTGCAAAAGCTACGTCTAGGAGGGCCTCTAGCTGGTGGGAAGCTCCCCAATTGCATTGCATCTCTCCTCTGCCTCATGCGATTAACCTTATACCAGACCAAACTCAGCCAAGACCCATTTGTGATCCTTCAAACATTGCCCAACCTCACCTTTATCAGTCTACATACGGAATCATACGTTGGCAGGAGTATAGCCAAATGCAGTGCAGGTGGCTTTCCTAAACTTTATGGTCTCCAACTCGGACATCTGAATGAACTGGAAGAGTGGGAGGAGGTTGAGAAGGGAGGCATGCCATTCCTCTTTTCCCTACAAATCAAGGATTGCAAGAACTTGAGGAGCTTGCCTCATGGCTTCCAGCACCTTACTACCCTTAAATTCTTGGATATTGTTGACATGTCTCCGGAGTTTTTGGAGCAGCTGCAATATCCAGGCAAAGACTATGACAAAGTCAGACACATCCCGTTTATTTGGATTCGGAAACAATAAGGTCTTTGACCAATTTGTGTAGGAGAGCTGCTGCCCATAAACTCAATGGTACGTCTCTAACGTTTAAATCCCACTTTCTTTTTAAAATGGAGAATATGCATAGCTTGAACTGCAAAAGGCCAGGGGCAAGCCAGGCGCACCTTAGAGGCCCAACCTGATGGCCAGGTTCGGGCCTCTCCCCAGCTTGACGGTGCTCAAAGGCCTGCCCCAACATAGGTTGTGTTGGGGCTCTTTCATGGGCCCTCTCGGTTCTAAAATTGTGGCCCATTAGCTTGATGGCCCGGGCCTGGGTCTACATAAGCCTGGCCTGCCATTATAAAAAATATTAAAAAAGACATATTTTTAAAAATGATTAAAAATAATCATTTATTTCACTTTTCTGATTTTTCTGAATATTTAATCGTATAAATCATAATTTTAATAATCCATCTCTCTCTCTCTCTCTCTCTCTCTACTTTTTTAAGGACTTCTTATACTCATTTTACTTTTTCCTAGTTCTTCTAATTTTAATAACTTTTTGACTTTTTTTGTTTTGCACACTACTCAGCTGAGCATGACTAAGTGACTCAGCTCAAGCCAGGGCGACTTCGGCGGCCCGAACCGAGTTTAACAATGTTGGTTTCTATGATTTGAATTTTCTTCAGAATATCGAGTGTCGCACCCTCAAACAAATCCATCTTCTCTTTGATTTCTCTTTGTGCTTGGTACCATGAATATAATTCTCTGCTGATTTGTCAAATTTGTTGAAACTCATGCAACTGTGGGCAGTTATTTCCTTCCATATTAACTCATCTCTGCAACTCAACAAACTAGTGCTTTTATTGAAATTCTAGATTCTCCATTGGCTACACCAAATCAGACCAATTTAACAATTCTTAGAGAACCCTGAAAAATTAGAATAAGCCCAAAAGTATTTGAAAGACTGCTTAATAGAGATATGAACTGGCTTAAATTTCCAATTTTGAGTCTGTATTCTCTTTTCTTTTCGCATTCAAGTTATTTTGCAGCTGTGCTATCTTCATCTTGGTGGCCATTGAGAGAGCAGTACCGCTCTGTTTTCCGTTGTACAAATTTGATTAAAGAAGTTTGCATATTTTTTTATACTTTTAAATAATTATACCTTGTAAAATACTATGGTATGCAAATTGGTGAAGAGGTATTTCTATACTTTTAAATAATTATACTTTTTGTAAAATATTTCTGGTATGCAAATTGGTGAAAGAGGTATTTGGTTGTTTTTGATTTGAAGGTTGCTTGGTTTAATAGTTAGAGCATATTATAACACTACTTAAAATAGTTCCCCTTCTTCTTCTACAGAGCTCGTGCACGCAGTAGATTCATTTATTGATGAAAGGACAGCATTGCATTTGTGCCTCTTGAATGAAAATTGTGTTTGTCTCGGTTGTGTGCCAATTGTCGCACAGGGTAGTAGTTTTTTGTGTTTCTGTTTCTCCTTTATGTTTGTTGTCAAGATCTTCCATTGAGGGACTCGATCTTTTTGTGTTGGCTACGTTTGTGGACCATGAATGCAGTGTTTATTGGGATTGATACTTTAAAGTTGTGTTGGGTATGGTGAATGTTTGAAAATGTTTGAGTTGAATTTGTTTTTGTAGAAAAGTTCAATTTACAGAGAAAGTATTGAATCTTCAACCAAGGTTGGTTCGTGTCCTTAAATTTCTTGCTTGTCTTCACTGGCTCGAAAGCCTATTTTACCTAAACATGATTATCAGGGCAGGGAGAGGCCTCAATGCACGAAAAAGGATAGAACTAAGAGCATTAAAAAAAAGAAGCTTTCCCTTCCTCTACGATTTCCTTTCGTGTGAACGGATTTAAATATGGCATTTCTCAAGTTTGAAGGAGTCCATTGAGATCCCCTTAAGCACAATGTTGATCTGTTTTGGATGGACAGTATGGGCAAGTTTGATGCAATCCTTGTTTTCCCTTTTCACATGCACTCTTATTGAAAGAAGCCTACTGCTTTAATGAAGTGCTCTCAAAATAAGAGAATGTCAGCAACCTCAACATGTTTGGGCAATGCATACTAACCACTTCAAGCACACACTTATAACTAAAAAAATAATATGAAACATAGTTTCCTTGATATATGAAACAAAAATAATATAAAACATAGGAGAAAATGAATTTTTATAACATATTGGGGGTGGGGATAAGGCCTAGAAGAAAAATAGTAGCTCCTAGCTCCTCACCATCGATAATAGCCAGGCTGCACAATTGTGCCCGCATATCGAGTATTTGCTCGAGAGGCTATTTGGATAAAACAACTAACATAAGATCTGACCTGTAATTTTCAAACATAAGAAAATAAGTTAAGTCGTCAAAGTCTAATGATTTGTAATGCAGCCTAAACAAATGCCATGAAGGAAGAATCATGTCAATAGCATGCATTGAAGTGCATGCAAGTGCACTTCCATAGAGTCATCTGAAGCTACATTAAGAGCCAGTGATGCTAATCATTGTCAAAGTTAGACATTTGAAAGTTGAGTAACCTAGAATCACTGTTTCTTCATATTCTTTTTCATCTTCAATTGGTCATTATAGTTCCCTTGAAAGTAAATAGGCAAAATTGTATGGATGACCCATGAGGAAAAGTGGGAATTGAAGAAACAGGAAAAATAAAAATAAAAATTGTAGCTTTTGAATGTAAGCATCTGGTTTATGGTGTAGCCATTCCACCAATCATTTTTTTTTAATATTGATAAAGAAAAAAGAAACAAAATTGAATATTATCATTCACCGATACTAAGTAAATTTTTTTTTTTTTAATATTATTAGCCACCCAATTGAGACCAAACCTGATGGCACGACATGTTCAAGGATTCCAATCCGGAAACCAATGGAAAAATAATTCCTATAAAATTTCCCCAAATAGTACCTATCCACTTTTATTAATGTTTTCTGATTGTTTTTACATTTTTAAAGATTTCAAAAATATATTTTTTAATTATAATTGTCTTCCTGCGAATTTTTATATCTTCTAGATTTCTAAAATATTGTATTTGCATAAAAAACCATTAAAAGGTATTTCCGTAATTTTACAAATCTGGAGGTATTTTAGATTACAATTGGGTGGGACCCATGTAGAGGGGCTAAGGGCCCAGTCCCCACACATGTGGAGCCACATGAGGTCGCTCGTGGGGTCTACATGGGCCACACAGGATTTTTATTTTTAATTGAGTTTTTAATAAAATTAGAAATATCCTAGTTGTTTATCTCAAAATATTTTTTTAGAGAAATCATTTACTGGATATTTTTTTGGGATGTAAATACTAAATAATATTTGCCCAATCTAAATTAGGAAAAAGTTTATGTAAGGTTGCAACCTTAAACTATAGAATTAAGGTGCACCTCAAAAATTTATCAAAAAAGGCTGTTTTGATGATAGAACTAATCGATAATCTCGACATCAAGATATATAGATGTTTGCAATATATTTTCAGAATCATCTATTTTCAATATTTTCATAGATTTATAGATTTATTTGATTTGAAAAAAATTTGTAACTTAAAATTTTAAGTTAGAGATGAAAATAGATTTTCATGTCATCCTCATAATTTTTTATTCCAAAATTACATCTTAAGATAAAATTTAGAGGTGCGTCTTATTTTGATGGTTTAAGGTTGCAACCTAATGCAAACTACATCCTTTAAATTAATTTGAATTTTTCATCATCTCTTTGTGAGACAAAAGGAATTATAGATTATCCTAAATTATTCTAGAAAATATGTTCAATTGGTCACGGATCTGGATAAAGCTAGTAAGTGAATAATGTGTTAAATATCAAGGGACAAGATTCCGAAATATCTTCTATAAATCATGATGATTGATTCTAGAGATTGATAGCTTAGATTAATTTTCTCTCTCACCTCCCATATTACCTAAATATTCTAGATAATGTTGAATCATAATATGAGTGGGACTCCCCAAGGCCCTTGAGGCCTATATAAAAGCTGGTTTGCCCTTGTATTCTCCACACACCTTTCAGACTTCTCTTTCTCCACTCTCTCTCCTGCACACAACTTTCTATTCTCTCATCTATGTCTTTCTAACTCCTCTCTCTTCTTTGAAAGATGGTATAGGTGGTACGCCACCCACCACCTACCTCGCAAGGTAGAGAGACCGCCCAACTCTAATTTTTTATTTTATAGGACATGCCATCTTCACATGCCCCATGTGAAAAAAAAAGGTTTTTTTGTGAAACTCTAATTCTAACCCTAACTCTCTCACTCTATAAGTTTCAAATAAAGTTTCACAGAGGTATTTTTTAGTTCAAATTGGTGGATTCAACACGTTCTAAGATCAAGTGCATCATTAGTCAAGTGATCGGGTGTGCTAAGCCCTATAGGCGTAACCCTAGGCAAAAGTCATTAAATCTTCCCTCAGTTATTTATTTATTCCCTCAGTTGTTTAATTTTATTTTCAATTGTTCTTGTCTCATTTATGCTTCCGAAAATTATTGAGTGACCAGTATGAATAAAGTTTATTTGGCAATAAGTTATTAAGATCCTTGTAGGCTTACTTTACTTTATTTGTGACATCTAAAGTAAAATTTCTTGCAATTAAAAAACAAAAAGAAATAAATTTAAATTTTGTGGCCTCAAATTCTACCAAGCCACTTCTTTCAAATTGCGCAAGATGATTGACAAATATTACAACATTGTCCTACATGTGTATACTCGTTGCAACAAAAGGAACACAAGATCATTTATCTCTAGAACAAAAAAGTTCACAAACACCCTTAATTTCCCAATAAAAGGAAAAGTATATAATAGAAATACTTTTTCACCCTTTTTTTTTGCCTAAAAATGTTATAATCATTTCTAACATCAGGTGACCGGGGGCTCTACTATAACGACACGGTTTCTATGCAGCCAACCCACATATTGTAGAAATGCAGGCTTGGAAATAAATATATTTTTTAAATATAATTTGATTGTAATTTTGAAAGAATATATAATCTTTAACATAGAGATCATGAATATGAAATTTGAAAAAAAAAAAAAAACTATATTAAGAAAACATTTTAACCGTTAGTTACACTTGTTTTTAGATGGATCACCTACTTGCATCCATCTTTAAAATGGATGCTTTATACCTCCAGATCGCATATTGTAGAAATGCTGTCCAACCTGCATGAAACAATTTTCCGTACTATAAAGAACAATTGTTTCATGCGGGCTGGACCGCATTGGTACAATATACGGTCTAGAGGTTTAAAGCATCCATCTTAAAGATTTATACAAATGGATGGTCCATCTAAAAACAATCGTAACTATCGCTCTAAATGTTTTTTTAATATAATTATTATTTTTAGTTTTTAAAATTTATTTATTTATTCATATTCATGATCTCCATGTTAAAGATTATATATTTTCTAAAATTACAATGAAATTGCATTTAAAATATATATTTATTGCCAAGCCCGCATTTCTACATGTGCAGGCATGACTACATGCTTAAACGTGTCCAGTTATAAATTATACTCAATTTTGAAAATATTTTTATCAAACATCTAACACCAACCATCTAGTTTTACATCCAACATCCAAGGGCCTGGGCTCTTGGTGACATCTGTGTATGAAAGTACTCTTGTTGTATCCAATCCCATAAAATGCAAGGAGCTGCACATTGTTGCAAACCATATACCATCAGACTATTTATTTTTTGTGCAAGGTCACAATCATTGTTAACCATTTTGAATGTAAAATTCAATGGATTGAAGTGTCATAATATTCAAAAAATTTTGTTTTTGATATTGTGCCTAGGTAAATGACACATTCTCAACCAAACGATTTCACATCTCATGATCAATAGTAGTTGTGACCTCTTTGCAAAAAAAGTAAATGATCTAATCATACACATTTCCATATAAATATCACATAAAATAGAAGAGTTGCGTATTTTTGCAAACACACCAAATGTTCATGGTGCCCACATTTAAGACAAAAGACCATCTCTCAAAAACCCATTTCCCCGATCTCACAAATAACCCCACCGACATCAAGAAAGTCTTCTACTATTGGGATTATATACAATGAGACAATTTACTTTTGATACAAGGAGGTCACAATTACTTGCAACCATCCAATGTAAAATCTGATAGCTTGGGTGTGTCACAAAATTCAAAAAAATTTCTTTTGAAGTTTGAACTTGATCAATGAAATAAATGTAGTCATCTAATCTCACATTCAATAGTCAAGATTAATTGTGACCACCTCATACCAAAGATAAATGGTCTCATTGTATACTTTTCCTTTGCTATTTCAATCTCATGTTTTTTCTCATCCATCCCTTTCCCGACTTATTTGAAACCATTTTCTTAGACCCCTCTCTCTCTCTCCCTCTCCCTCTCAAAACATAGTGCACAACTTAATGAGGTGATGAGACCATTATCTTCATGTACGCATCCTTTCATATTGTACAAGGGTTTAATCCTAGTATTAATACACATGTAAATTAAATTAAATCACAGAAGATTAGTGTGAACCATTCTATCAAAGCACAAGGTACGGACCATCCTTACAGCTCCAGTTCCTGTAATGGGTGGAGAGCTCTCCACTGAAGTCAGTAAAGCAGGTTGTAGACCACATATGATGTTGTGGAGCCATAACTAACAAATAAAAGAAATCCAAAAAATGAAGCACTTGGCAAGGGAAGTAAGCAGGCTTTGTTGGTCCCTATACACATTACTTCAGTGACTAGACTGACAGCCGTCTGAGCTTTGATTGAAGTGATTGCAAACAAAAAACAATTTCAGACATTAATTGCAACCTAACAAGAAGAATTTCCAGTAGTCTGCCAACTATCAGACCAAGGCCGGACAACTGTTGGTCCCCAAACAAACAGAGATTATGTGTATGGGAACCACATAAAGGTTTCGTGAGAAGAGAATCCCAAAGAGAAGATCTCTAACCATTATCAGTGCATTCAGGTTTCAAAGTTCCCTTTTACTTGGAAGTGCGAGAGCTAAATGGCCTGACTAAATCATCATCGACATTAAATACATATATCTCAGGAGGGAGCTCCCTGTGACATAGATAATCCAGTAGATGCCATGAGTTAACAAACAAGAAAATACATGCTTGAAACCTTAACAGACTCACATGTTCAACAAAGACACATGCTTCTTTGATGCTTATATATTGAGCTTATGTGAAACAGCTGCGAGAGAGAGAGAGAGAGAGAGAGAGAGAGATTTGAAAGGGTGGTAAATGAGGTTAGTAAGAACTCACTTTTCATTTGCTTCTTGGTATGTATGACTTGAAGCAACAGCCAACATCTCACCATCATGGTTGTAAGATAAGGAGGCCACACTGGCTGGGAACTTTGGGAACTGCTATGAAAGAAGAGAAGTCAGCACGTCCCTATTTGATGTGGATTCATCAGGTGGATCGGGCATTGACAAAGACCAATAAGAAACTAGTTTGCCCATTAAATTTTCCAAGGAAACTTCAAGGAGTAGTACAAAACCTGAGCAATAGAGAGGTTCATCTAGCCTTCAAGCTGTAAGAATATCATATAGTAGTATGTCTCAAGGGACTGTAAACCTCATACGAGTAACAAGGTTGCACTCATTCTAGTGATGTGATCCATTGCTTTTACAAAGTTACGTTCATCTCAAATCCATGCTAGACACATTTCCTGTTCCTTTCATCAGATTATTTGTTGGTAACAATAAATCAAAACAATTCTTTCTCAATTGGTTTAACATCTCTAATCTTCATTTACTTTTTAATTAAAGATATAGATCCAGATTGCAGATTGTATTTCTGTCCTTTCCAATTAGTAATCCAACACTTACATAAGCTACTTTTATTTGAGTTACTGATTGCTAGTGGGGACTTGAAGTCCTCAGCTCATGGCTTCACAGACAAGAATAATAGATCGAATCTCTATAGAGGTCTTCTCTCTCGCTCTCGAAGCATACAACATTTTTTTAAATATGCAACTGCCCCACTTAATTCTGGTTTTTAAATATTTTTTAAATTTGCAATGCCCCACTTAATTCCGGTTTTTACAGTGCTCTGGAAATTGTGATGAATATCAATTCCCCTAATTCCACAACAACAACAAAAAACATATACAAGCACACAACTATCTTTAAGGCAAAACCTAGGAGCCAGTATGTGATGTATCATTTCATGAAAGAGCCCTTAAAAACTCGATATTTTAACACAGCCCTAAGGGTGAAAGCCCGAGCCCCGGCCACAAAATTTGGACCGAGAAATGTAGGCCCCAGGGTTGTGTTGGGCTGAACTTGGGTGAAGGTCCAAACAAGTCCAGCCCAGCTATCTTTTTTAATACTTTTTGTAAATTGATTTTGACTTGGCCCGCTGACCCCAAATAGTTGGGAACAGGCTCTGTGATGATGATGATTTCGACTTGGCCCAAATCCACCCAACCCATTAACAAGGCCATGCTAGACCACCTAACCCAAGAGTAGGGCAAAGCTTGGGCCAGAACCCCTTTAGCCCTGCTCAGCCAGTCCAAGTCGGGCCCCCTCAAGCCGCCACGGCCCAACCCGTTGCCACCTTATATAGCCTCTATATGAGCCATGGAGATTAAAGAGGAGCCATCCATATCCATGCTAGAATGGCAGGGGAGCACTTTCCAATTTTGCCTCTATGCCAGAAAACCTCGGCTTTTTGGAAAAAGGTGAAGATTCAACCACTCATTTCTTTAATCATCAACAGAAAAAGCCCAAATCGACCATAAATTCATATCGCCAAGCAACTTTTGGTTAGGAGAATAAAAAAGTGGTTGCATGAAAAAAAATAGTGACTGGTAAATCTTACCCATTTTCAAAGATTAGTGCTTGACAAGGATCTGAAATACCGATATTTTGCTTTCTACTCAAGAGGAAAACTTACTCAACATATCAGTGTCAGTAAGACCAATATCTTAGTAGAATAGAAATTGTAAAACATTACTATTTTTAGCAGTATATTGTAACAGTAGTTTAAAAAGACTTTTATTTTGTGGAGTGAAATTGTAAAGTGCCCTTCGACCAATTATGACATGGGCACAAAACAAATGAGATGGATATAGAGTCAAAATCATCGATTCCTATCGCACCTCATAATTTACCTTAAACTACTCATACACAGTGTATACATATTTCTAGTGATGATTAGAAAGGAGGCATTAGTGGACTCAAGTGGTTTGAATCAAGTCAATTCATGGGGGTCTCAACTTATAAGTCAGAATAAAAGAAAATTGAAGAAAAGCTGAGCAACTTTTTCAACAGTTTAACCTCAAGCTAGTCTAAAGAAAAATTGGAAAGACAAGGAATGAGACTGAGACTTTTAAGAAAGTTCTTAACCTTTTGCAAGTTGGGAAGATCTTTTAACTGTTTTAGTTTTTAATTTAAATTCCTGCATAGGCCCAAAACTAGGATGAGAAAACTGCTAACTTTGGGGCCTATAAGACAACTGCCTAGTTTGGATTAAGGATGTCGATTGGGTGGGATTGACCTGAATCAGGTTCAAATTCGGGTCCATCTTTTGGATCTATCAAGTTGGGTATGGGTCCAGAAGTATGGACCCAAGAATCGAGTGAGATTGGGTTTAGGTCCAACCATGACCTAATCAGGTCTTGTCGGGCCCGACCCGCTGTTGGGTGTGTTTTCAGTCATATACGAGCACCAGATGCATTTTGATACTGATATAATAGCCAAGCTTCATACGAGGCTTAATGAAATACCCCATGTGATGCAAATATATGATATGATCAAGATCCATCATATGAAAGGCTTGATATACTTAAAGGAATCTTGCATCATCAGTTAGTCCTTAAAGGTTCTAACTCACGACTGATAATGCCAAAAGCCCGTCAGCTAAACATATTCAAGATTGACATAAAATGGTAAAGACATCTCCTTTTGTGACAAGTTTAAGGATACATATACTCCTAAAGCTGTATGTACGCTTATCCATGCGATATGTGGAAGAACGGATACACCCTAATATTGGCATTTATTGTTGGTTATGCACATGTGCTATAACTTACAGTCAACGATAAGAGATCATGAAGACGTTTCTATTTGAGACGAAACTCCGGAATGCATATATTCCCTGGCACATAAATGCCTCTCTATTAGATAGCGGAGGAGTTCTAAGTGAGATGTGTTGTGATTCTTTAAAAGACCCATCGTATGTTGAAATAAAGGGGTTTTGACCGATGGGGCTTAAAGGAAACCTCATCATAATATATTGAGGTGAATTCCTAAAATATATCTATTAAGGCCTCATGTGCCTTAAGGTCCAAGGGTGATATGACTTGGGCGATATTTAGACCTAGCTTAACCCATGTCCGTATCCACCATCAGGTCAGATATGCCCTAGCTGGCACCCCGAAGATCGATGCCTTCGGGACCAAATTGACACTATCAGGAAACCACGTCGAAGTGTTGTGACCCTTTTCTTGAAGTTTCATATTAGTCGAAGGTTGGATAGCTCGTTGAACATATCTCATGCGTTCCAGACATAACAGCACTCGACTATTGATATTGTAATTTCTCCCTTAATTTGAGGAATTTCCCAAGACATGAGGACCGTTGGATCCTCGATCCTATTACCCTTAAAAAGGTGTGGAAATATTCTATGCAAGTGAATAAAGTATATTCAGCACGATGATGAGAAAGGTGAACCAACGAGCAATGAAAAGGGAAGATATGTCCTAGTTTTTCTCATCAAACATCGACTAACTTGCAAGGCTGCAAATTTAAAGTTCAAAAGAGGGATGGTTGGCCACATCAGATGGGCGTGAATTTGAATTCGCGTATGGTTAAGGGTTGACCACATATGATAAACACAAATTCAAGTTTATGTGTGATTGAGATTGGGGTTAAGAGATTTACCACAATTTTAAACTCGTGTGAAGCCTTGAGTGTGAGTTCAAATTCAAATCCACGAAATCCGTTGATTTGAACTAGAAGATCAGCTCACATATTCAAATTCACGTAGAAGATAAAGACAAAGTGAAGATCCAGCGTGAAGGTGAGGAAGAGTATAAGCATCATCCAGAAATCGACGATGGAGATGATATTTTTTGGTTATCAAAGAGAGATTGAAGGCTATCATTTGAAAAAAATTATAATAAGCCGGGTGAATAGATGAGAACGGGGTTCGCATATTTTTCCTGGAGATAGGTACTCTTTGAGAGGATATATCTCATAAGTTGATCAAGTACTAAGATAGAGTAAGAGCAAAGAGAAAAAAAACAAGAGAGAAATTGATTTGTGCTCTAAAATACCCGCTTGAAGCCCGTTTTTTCTGAAAATGACAAAGACGTAGGTTTAGCATTATTGCCATAGATCAGTTATATGGGTTGATATCCCATTTGATGTTATATCCTTTTATATGTATGTACGTCTTGTTTTGTTAGAAACGAATGTATAGGTCTTGAGGTTATAATCAAGGGTAGTTCACTTTATTTGTTTTTTATCGCATTATTGGGTCGATATAATTGTAAAAAGGGATTTAACTCTTGGAACTATTTCATTCCTAGCATATGATATTAAAAACATGTGTTTCTATGATATGGAATGCACGGGCGAATTTGACCCCGAATGTGTTGCCCTCTGACAAAGCATTTAATTGGAGTCTCAGCATGTTTTAAACTATATTGTCTTTTTTTAAAACATCAAATACCACCTTTGCTTATGGCAATTCACATTTCGGAGTGTCCACCCGACTCCTTAGGTTTTAATAAAAGCTTCCATTTTATGCCATAAAACATGAATTTATTAAAAAAATGATGCAGTTTCTGTAAGTCCTAGACTTTATGAAAAAAAGTAAAGCATCCGAGAAGCACTTTGGGCATTGGAAATCTCTATGATGGATCTAAAATCAATTTCCAACATCAACAATGAAATTCAAAGCTTGAAAAATATTAATGGACAATCTTAGATAATACATTACAATATACAATTTTGGGTGAGTTTTGAGGTGAGGCTTTACTTATTTTGATAGGGATGCAGCCCTATAAAAATATTTTCCTTAAATAAGAAATAGAACTCGATCCAAACCTACCCAACCCGACCCGACAAGTTGGGTTGAGGTCGAATTGACCTGGAGCCGACCAGGTCTAGGTGGGGTCCATGTCGAACCTTGGATTTGTAGGATCGGGTCAGGGCTGACCCATACCCAATCAGCCCTTTTTACATCCCTAGTTTGGATCAAACCCAAGACAATTCGACTTCAATAGTTCAAATATGAATTGCAAGTAAAGGAGTATTATGTATATTTGTCCAGCATTCAACCATATGTATAAGAAGCATCTAAAATCAATTGAGAATAAAAAAAGAAGTGAAGCTACCAAAATTTCAAGGAACAAAGGATATGAATGACAATTATAAATATGATTACCTCATAAAGCCTTCTCCTGCTTTTACCATCCCAAGCAATTGCATATCCTTCATTATCTCCAGTGATAAATGTATTGTAGCTGCAAGCTAATATTAAGGTGAACTGAGCTTAAATATTTCCATATAAAGAAACATACAACTGAAGAGAAGATAACAGAGCAGACCTAGGATGCAAATCAATCCCATTCACAGCAACCAGATGATGTCTTCCATTGATAGACTTTGGATGACATCGGAAAGCATATCTGTCATGGGAATATTAAATCAATCCGAAAACAAATTACAAAGAAAACCAAACTGAAAGAAATAAAAATGTAAAAACGAAATATCCCACCAATGGTGCAGTTGCGACCTTGGTCACAACTTTAAGAACAGCCAGCAGTAAAGTAGAACAGTTCACTCCTTGTGGAATGCCAAGTCTAGGAATATTTCATCAAGTACAGGAATGTAGCAGATTGAATTTAAGTTGAAGGCATGTAGCGAATTTCAATTAAATAAATACGAACCTATTGGCTTGTGATGTTTCAGACATTGCGAAAAACTCCAATTCAACTTGTCCTTCTACTGACCCAAGAATGTACCCTACAGAATAAAGTGAGCAATTAGTAAAATATATTGACAAAAGAATTCAGTTATGACTTTATTCAACAATAACTTTGCTACACACTAAAAGGAGAGAAAGAAAAGGGATGATATACTGTACCTCATAAGAGTCTGATATTGGGTACTCGTACCCAACATTCAATATCCATACTTATCCCCAAATTGTGGAGATGATAACTTCCTATTTAAAACAAGGGCAGACCTAAAAGCAAATTAACAACTCACCTCCCACCGGCAATGGAATTAAGGATACAGAATGTTGGAACTGAAGCACGGAATAATTTTTTCATTAAATAAAGGCAAAGCAAAAACATCCCTGATTTCAGTGAAGGATTAACATGAAAGCATGATTTAAATGATTAATTTGAAAGTTTGTCGCATATTTGTCACTTTTTTAGGTTAATGTAGTATGTAACATTTCACTGGTAATGCATGATACATAAACTTTAGGGAATTATCAAAATACACCTAACATATGAAATATTTAACATTTTACCCTAGGTGTATTTTGATAAATTTTAAAAACAATTTTGATGTGTTATTTGATGGGATATTTGAAAATTGATCAAAAGAATGTCATGTCAATTTGAAATTAGAGAAAGAAATATGGGTAATATGTTAAATAGTTCAAATCATAAGTGGTTCGATATATTTCCCTGAGAACAGTTAGATCATTAACGCTCATGATAGTTTCACCAATAGATACAGTCAGAGAGTAGCAGTTAAGAATAATCTGCAGACGACATAAAATACAGTCATTGCATCGTTTTCTCTTATCACATTAAACTCCACAACCTCCATTATAGCTGCCTGAGTACTCATATGAGCAAAAACAAAAGTTACATTAAGGATGCCAATGCATGTCTTAGTTGATGTGGGCTGCAAAGTCTACAAAATGCAGTACGATCATGACCAAACAAGATCATTAACATTCTTAGTTCCAACTTCCATAAGATCAGTTCATTTTATTGTCCCACCATGGCAGATTTTTTTTGGACACCTAATTAGACAAAGAAAACAAGGTGCCTGGTAAAGAGTCCTAGGACACCTAAAACTCAAATCTGAAACATTTTTGACATAATTGTTCAAAGATTCAAGCCATTTCAATATATATATATATAAGATATTAAAACTGTACATTTTCATTGTAACAACAAGTAATAAGATGACAGAGGTAAAGAAATAAAAAATAAAAGAAAGTGGCAAATAAAAAAAGAAGAAGAAACTACTCAAGGAAAGCAAACTTCTCACCCAATAAGTAGTTACTGGTCCTCAAGGAGGGTGACAAATCATTCATTTATGTATATGTGTGTGCGCATTTGCACGTATGCGCATTGCACACACACACATATCCATACATATAGGCAATGTTAAAAAAGTCGGATGCGCCTGCCTAGGAAGGCACCTAGGAACAAGGACAGGCTAGGCCCCTAAAGAGTCCTTAGGGCAGCGGTTTAGGCCGCAAGGGAGTTCTTAGGGCAGCTTTAGGACCCCAAAACCATGAAAAAAAAAAAATTACAAACATGTGAAAATATCAAAAAAGAAAAAAAAAAAAAAGAATATCAAATTAATACATTATACCCAAAAACAATGTCCAACTTAATTCAAATATTGTAATGCACTAACCTTTTCAAAAAAAAATTCAGTATAGGACCAAACTAGGAAATAGTTACCAAATATTTCAAGTTTTCAATTACAAACATGTAAAAATATCACAAAAGAAAAAAATAAAAGAATATCAAATTATACAAAAAAAAACCAAGCCCTAATTCAAATATTGTAATGCTAACCTTTTTAAAATGAAACCGATATCAGGCCAAACCAGTGATCTTTAGTTGCCAAAAGTCCTCTTATAGGGCCACTCCAAGTGCCAAAAAGTATCAGGAACTATATCCTTCGATTTTGCAAGAAATAAAAAATGTCGAATTTTTTTTCTATCTTGAGTTAAAATCTCAAAATCTAAGTATTTGGAGAGTTTTTCTCTCTCTAAAATACAAAAAAGGGGCTTTGGGGGACTAGAATGCTCCCCAAAACCCTTCCCCACTTTTTTGGGGGGAAATCCCCGAAATACCCTTGGCCAAGGGCCTATTTTCCGCCCTCAGCCTGCTTGCATCGAGGCTTGGCCTCCTAGGCAGGAGCCTAGACATATGACGCCTAGGTGGCTGGGCGGCCAAATTTTTTAACATTGCATATAGAAAAAACTTCTTTCCTTTTCCAAACATATATGCTCAAACCCATGACATCCAGTATTTAAGATAGTTTTTTTCAGCAGTCCTTAGGTTTTCATGTATTTTTGTTTGGTTGATCCTCTTATAAAGAGCTCTAAAAATGTTTGGTAAACCTGAAGTCTTGAACTCTATGCCATTTACCCCCAATCCAAGTCTACACTAATAGCACCCCTCAACTTAGGTGTTTTGTTGGATTGCCTAAGTATGGCATCTTTCTTGAGGTCCATCAAATGATGGAGGGTGTTCGAGACATAATTGCTGGTGTGATATTCACAACTTTAACGAGGTTGAGTTCGAGAGACTTTATCACAGTGGATCTCTCTCAAAGGGACATTGGAATATGAAATTGATGGCATTTCAAACTTCAAAGGCTACACAAAGAGCAATAATTTTACGTGGTATTTTTAGAGAAAACAAGGTCAGTCCCTGTCAAGAAACACCTATGGTCAGTGCAGGAATTACCATCTGGAGGTAGCAAACAATAATACCCTCTATGGGAGTTCTTCTCAAGCCTTGTTCACATTAGCTCATGAAGTGTGACTGTCAAAAAGTAGCTTGGTAGATCAAGGTTGTAGATTTCATGATGTTTGGGGAATATGTTTGTTGAGATAAAAAAACCCACGAATAATACAGGTTATTTCAAGTAAAGGAATTGCAACCATATCTAAAGGAAGCAATGATGCAACTGGAAAAAGAACGGGGAAAAAGTGGAATGGACAAAAATGCCAAGCATATCACAAACTATATAGGTGTTTCTGGTTCGATAACTAACAGTTACATGTAGGCACTTCCAAAATAACTCCCATAACAATTTGCATGGAAGAAACGAATATTCTTCAAAATGAACGCAATTACCTTGTCCATTAGGGAATGTTCGGATACACTTTTTATGATATATAGAACAAGATTCTCTAATTTGAATTGGATCATTCAAGCTTCTCAGATCGTACATATGTACAGAAACCCCAGCAGCAACTGTTAGATGTAACCCAATGAGGGACATGCATTCCACTTGAGCATCCGCTATTTGCAAATGTCCAACACAACCATATCCCATACGAGTATCCCAAAACCTTAGTTTGTTATCCAGACCACCACTAATAGCTTGACCTGTAAAAGAAAGCTTTAGAAGTTCAAAACTACTTTAATAATGATAATTCTTCAAAAATAAGCTTCGCACAAGGTTGATATAAAAAAACAACTCATAAATCATATAAATTATTTCTTCAAAAAGTACACCCATTTACAACTCTAATGTAATATGCAACAGACAATAAGGAAGATAGAATACACTTGTCCACTGAACCCATAAGTTAATACACTTGTCCACTGAACCCATAAGTTAATACACTTGTCCACTGAACCCATAAGCTAAACTAGTAGAAAGGCACTCAGTGAACTCTTTCCAGATCCATTTCGCGCAAATGAAATATTGAAATCAGAAGTTACTACAAACAGAACAATCAGGCAGACTCTGTTAACTCTTTTCAGAAAACAGTACGGTCCATAAAAAGTTTAGGTAAAACATGAAATGCCCAATATAACCAATATAGGCTCAAACTAGAGCTTAAAATTTGATATAATCTCAGACTCAGAAAGTGCTTTTTGTAACTGATATATTAGAGTAGGGAATGGGGTACCCCACATAATAATCCAAGAGGTAACTAGTTTTTGACAACTTTAAAATTAAAACCATGAGGAAAATAGGAAATGGAATGTTGAAAGCTCCTCTTGTGGTCCGAACTGTGACAGACAACAAGATAGACGACACAATGCAACAAGTCAGAAGACATGTACAAGAGTGGACTAAATTAGACATTTTTTACTTTGTTATTAATCAAATAAAGAATGGAGTGCTAGAGGCATCCAAATCCATACGAGTGGACCAATGAAAAATTCAACTAACAATCATAACATTAAAATTGTGTTAAATTATTCAAATTGTGCATTCTACACAAGATCATATGGACACATGCACGAGATATTGCACTATAGATCGTTAATTTTAATGGTGTTTCAAACCAACTTTAAAACATTTACCAGAGTGAGTTCCCATTTGAGAGAGCTACAATACGATGAACTTCGATCTTGAGAACTAGATCAACACTCAACTTCTGCATTGAACCACTCTTGTACTTTTGTAGTACTCTTACCTAAACTCACCTAATTCATGCCAACCATAGTAGATAGACAATTAATGACCTTACCCATTTCGAGTTCATTTCTAACATTTCTGGGACTTTTAACTGCAATTGGCTGTTTTGTGCCCATTTCTCCTTCATTCTTCGATCTTTCCCGGAGAAGCTTGTTTATAATTTAGAAATCATCTTGATAACCCAAACCAAACCACATTGTGGCAAGTCAGCAGGATTCCCATACTTCCCAGAAGTTTCTCCAGAGAGTGCAACTCAAAGGAAATTCTATCGAGTGCTTCCCTGAGCTCAGTTGTATACAGTGTCAGATGCATCTCAGAGTTACCAAGACAAGGGTATCGAATACCTTGAAGGAAAAGGATTGGCATGCCTGTGAGTCATTGGGAAGCACTAACAGAACAATTTTTTAAACTTTAACACCACTTCTTGTTGTTAATGTGTTTGTAGTCAGTTTGAGCATTGCAGGGGTGGGAGAAGTCGAATAAAATTGTATGGAATGGCTCTTGTAGTTTGCCCTGAGTAGAAATCACACCTAACTCATGTTGAAGTTGACTAAAGATAACTGAGAACCTAGTTTTATCACTATTGTCAAAGACCTGATTCCACCTACCCTTTGCTTCTACTCTGTCTCTTTCGTTCAAACTTTGGTTCACCATCGAGATCAAAAATCGGACTTGGTTTAATTTTCAGTTACTAGTTTTGACCGCAGTTAAAAGCTGAGTAAGTCTTAAGGGAGATTCATGCTCAGCTCCCACAAATGGAAAAGCAAAGTGCAACTTGAAGTTAACAACAGATAGCAGAGAACATCTACGATTTTGACCACAGATAGCAGAGAGATTTACGGGATTGGAGGCTGGCTAGATAAGGGCCTGGTGAAGTTGAGCACAGAGGAAAATAGATCTGCAGAAGTTTACAGCAATTAGACACAAACTGGGAAGTTTTGGCCACACATAGCTCAAGCCAGTGAAGTTAGCCATGGGCAAAGTTTAACCAAAGAACTGTTAATAAACCTTCTGGAAGATTTCCCTCAACTCTTTATGTTCCGAAGTAGACCAAGAACACAACTTTCAGGTGATCCTCATCTCCTGAAAAAGGCAATAAAATCCATAAAACTATTTCTTTTTACACTTCTTTTGTTACTACCATGTACACGCTCAATTGTCATCATACGAATTCATGTTAGAGTGCATGCAACAAAATTCACAGCTACTTTCTTATTCTTTTTTTAAAAAAATTAATGGATAGCCTCCAAGTGGAAGTGATGAAAGGTTTCACAACCAAGTCTAGGGTCACTCTCTCTCTCTCTCTCTTTTTTTTTTTTTGGAGTTTCCCAATGTTCATTTGTAAATCCTATCCCCATGGCTGTTTTCTGACTAGCGTGGTTTCCACTTTCTAATAACAAGTTGTGAGTATAGTCGTTAGAAAATCTTGTGATTCCGAATCGTTTCAAGAATTGCAAACATGGAATCACTGGTGGCCAAATGATTACTATAGCTAGAAATTGCCATCTGCACAAGGCATATCACATGAAGCGGGATTCCTATCATTTAGGGATCTTGCTTGGATCTAACAGGAATTGAGATTCCAACCCCATTAGAATTGCGGTCCCATCAACTTGGGATCAAAATTCCTGACTTACAGGAATCACCACCAAATAACTTGGAACTAGGTCAAAAATTATCAAGAAACAAGTTCAAAATGGCAAAATATTTAAGGTTTTAGATTATCACTAAGAACAAATACACTAGTATTGGATTCAATAAATGGAGTACGCTTACTCAGAGCTCTCTTGTTGTTGGAATCAATGTCTTTGACATCGGTCCCCTATCATTGGAGTCGTTGTATTGAGTGCTATTTATCACAATTCTCCACAAGTATTAGAAACAAGGTCGTGTACCCTTAAATAAAAATTAGAAGCAAGGTCTCATATTGGTTGAATCACAGTCTTGTGCACCTATGAATCGCAAAATTTGGTGAGGTGTAATCTAGATTCCAAAAAAATCGGAACAAGATCCAAAAAATGTGGAATTGTGATTCTTAATTTCCAGGAAACGGGATCTGTGGTGATTCCTTCGCAGAAATGTAGGATAGCAATTCCAAACCGCAATCGCTACGGAGGGTGGACAATTCTAGTAACTATAGTTGTGAGTGTCATGCTTCACAATCAACAAGATATCATGAATCAAATAGCAAATCTAACACTCTAGCCTCACAAATATGTTTCTATTATTTTCTACATGAATGTATTTTGCCTCAATCCATCAAAATGTCTAGATACAAAAGGATCATCATAAGCCATGTAATTTGAATGGCCGTCTATTCCTCAAGAAGGTTCTGCCATAGAATGTAATGTATATGCTTCCATAATCATCCAATCTGATAATGATCACGTTGAAGCACAGTGCACATCATTTTTAGACATATTTTTATATGGCATACATTGTGACATACACCTCATAAAAACATAAAGTAGTTTCACTTAAAACAAACAAAAAGTGCAAAGTATTCTAAACACTTACGATACAAATCTACAATATTATACATATTAAACAACTTACCAAATGGTCATGAGGCAAGAATCATTCAAAAACATGCAATTTTGCGAAATTGAACTAGAACCTCAATGGATGAAATTTTGACAAAAGATGGAAATGGAATACATACAAGTTTCCTTGGAATACTCGACACAAATGGCCAAATCATCATGATTCCCCAGGGTGCTTTCATTTCCCATATGGAAGTCATACCTAAAAAGAAGTTAGCTAACAACTTAGATTGATGAAAGTACGGAAGCTGACAAAAAACTGACTATGAAGAAGATGTTATGACAAAATTAAGATTTTCTCGAGGTGGAGAAAAAGACATATTGAGATGCAGGATTACAATTCCACAAGTGGTTAGTCATCAACAAAAGTATCACTTGTACAAAACAAAAATTACTCGATTTTTAAAACATAGTCGGCAGTAAACTAGATGAAATATATAAAATATGTTTGTACTATGAATAATAAATAACACATGGACATGCTAACCAATGTTATCCCACATACCCACCCTTAATTGCTGTAATCAACACAGTAACACACAAAAAAAAGAAGGAAAAACAAAACTCTCTTCTACAGGCAAACACTGTGAAATCCATCATTAAGACCGAAATAAGTGTTTGTACCTTCCAAATGGAAATTATGGAGCAAATTTGGAAAATGAAATTTTCAGTACCTCTTAAGGACATGCCAGCATGTTTGACACAGTGTCCGCTAGCAACGCATTGTAGTGAATAAAATACTGATTAGTGATTATATGAACAACAATTAGTCGTGGATACAAAAACTACATGACGTACTAGATAGTCATATCATATTAAAGCAAAAAGTCGTTGTGTTATGTGGCACCTACATAAGTGTGCGTGTGTGTTTGTGTGTGTGTATATAGTGTTTGTGCGCACTCATGTGTATGTGTATGTGAGGATTCGATTCTTAGCTTGATCTAATACTTCCCCTGCCATTTAACTTTTTGTTTTGCTTTTGGTATTCTTATTGTTATCTTGTGATCATTTTAGATTAGGTTTATTCTTCTATTCTTTTTTGTGAGTTTTAACTGGACTAGTTGGGCTTCTTGTTCTTGGGGTATAGTGGCAAGGTAGCCAACAATAAGAATTATAATGGGTTCTGTAGTTTCCTCTAACATATTTGTATACATTTAACTTAGCATTAATATCCTTTTCTTTAATTCTCCGAGTATGCATAGGACAACATCTCAGACTGTCTCCCATCCAGGAAACCAATACTTCCCAGCAGCTCTGGGTTGTAATTTACCAATTGATTTCGATTACCTTTAATACACTCATTCATAGAGTATGTGAATTTTGTGGTTCACTGTGGCAGTTTAATTTTGGAGCCCACGCAGCTACACCACCATTGAGCACTTGGAGATTTGTGGAGTCACAGAAATGCACAATTCCTCCATTTAAATTAGTGTGGCTTGATGCATAGTTCACTTTAACTCATTCACCAAGAACACTAGGCAAAATCAAACATCATTCTGTCATATAAAGTGTATACAAAGCAAAAAAATATACCTTAAAACAAATTAAACATCTTATGCAAGTGCATAACCACATAGCCCAACATGGTCAATTGAGAGAATACATTTTAATGTCAATACAAGAAAAAACCAACAAAAAGAATAAATAAATAAAGGCATATCAGACAAGAAATACACCAAAAATTAAAGGCGAACAGCTTATAATAATTGATAAATCAAGGAAGTATAAAATTAGAGCAGATAAAAACAAATGGACATTTGCTAAAGGTATATGTTAGGATTAAGAACACATTACCTGTGAACAAAGCAATCAGACCCAACACTTAAGGCAACAGTTTCGCTCTCAAAGCAACAATCAAGGATAGGGAATCCGGAGCTAAATCTATTTCTGAGACATGAATTATTGGCATCATACAAGCTCAGAGTCTGCATAAATTAAGGAAAAAGGGTAAAAAATCTCTAAAAAATAAAAGGTAAATTGGATGCAAATGAAATGTCATGAATACATCAACAATAGTTTCAGAAAAATAAAAAAGACGAATTTGGGTAAGACTTTAAGATAGAGAAGAACTTCGAAAGTAATTTTAAAGAAAAGGAGGAACGTACACAATCCCAAGAAGAGACGAGGAGATTGTTGGATTCTGGTGCAAATCGAACCCTAGAAATGGCATCATTTGGGGGTCTCTGCAACTTTGAAGAGCCCTTCTCCATTAATGAGATGACTCTGGTTTTTGGAGATCTGAGTTCTTTGTTTTCTTCTTACGTGTTCGCCTTTGGCGCTTAAAAACTGTGTGTTTGAAATTTGACAAAAGGGTGTTGTGGTTTGACAACTCCAAACACGGTGTAGACAAAAGCGTATTTACAAAAATAAAAAAATCTTCACATAATTTATTACGAGAAATGATGCTTTCTTGCCCCGATAGATCTCAAAGAATCATCATACAAATTTATAGAAAAGTTAAGTTTTATACCCATGTGATAATTTTTTATAGATTTGTACCAATTTTAATGATGATCATTTGAAGTCCTGTACACATGGATAAAAAAAAGTTCTATAGGATCATTACTCATTTATTATAAGATGTATTATTTTTAATATTTTAAATTATTTTTTTCACATATGTATATCTTGAAGTTGATATAATCAATTAAATAGGTTTTCACCATCACTAACAATTAAATAATTTTTTTTTATGGATTTTTTATACATTACCTTTTTCTAAGGTTGCATCCTATATAAACTTTGTCCTTCGATAAATTTACCCCTAGATCTTCATATAAATGTTGTAAAATTCTTGTGGGCACACCTGAAATGATGCTAAAATAGGCAATTCAAGTGTCGAAAATAATTATAATGCTCAGTAAATATAATTTTATATCTAATTATAAAATTTAAAGTTTTTGAAATAGTATAGATCGAACAAATCTATAAATACTTGAAAGTTTTAGAAATAGAAAGTGCAAATAATACATTACAAGATGCATTATTTTCAATACTAAAAATTGTTTTTTTTTTTTTAACATCTATATATCTCGAGGTTGAGATGACGAATTGAAGGGTCTTTCGGCATCCAAAAAGCCTTTTCCAATGAGTTTTTGAGGTTTGCTTGTTTCTAAGGTTGACACTTTATATAAACTTTTTTAAATTATGCAAATCTCTCTTAATATTAGCATATTAACTTTTTAAAATTATGCAAATCTCTCTTAATATTAGCATATTAACTTTTTGAAATTATGCAAATCTCTCTTAATATTAGCATATTATGTGAATTATCTTTTTGACGTCTTTTTTGTTCCAATTTTGCCCTCACTCTTCATACTGAAAATTTGAAGTCCCAAAGCGAATTGAGGACTTCGGTTTTCAATACCATCTCTATATTTTTTAAAAGTTAATACCTTGGGTGAAAAGAAAAACTTGAAGTGAATTTAGATATTGAAAACCCGAAGTTCTTTTGGATTTAAAAATTTGAAGTAGCTGTGATTTTAGATTTTCAAAATTGAAAAATCAAAGTGACTTTGGATTTTCAATATCGACCGTCATCTACATATTATTAATCAACCAATTTTTTGGGTAAAAAGATAACCCAACATGACATAAAGAATCCTAAGTCAATCTGACTTCATATATTTTATATTTGTTTTAAATTGTTTTTACACTTTTTTGACCAGATAGGACTTGTCCGATTAACACAGTTTACCAATTACTCGGAACCGGCCCTTGACCGGTTTTTTAGGCTGGTTCGATTTTTTGAATACTGTTTGTGCCCAATAAATGCAAACCACCTATTTTTTTGGGGTAAATCGAACAAGCCACCTATTTGGTTTGCTTTTATGAACTCAAGATCACTGTTTTAAAGACAAATAAATAAAAGTTCATCTGCTAAAGATAAAGCCACTTGTAGATTTTGAGGTTAAACAAGTTCCCCTAATGACTCAATCTAAAATCATTGTTTCATTTATAAAACGAACTATTTATATTCAGATCAATTTTTCTTAAAAATCGCCTTTCTTATTATTTTTTTTAGGATCTCTTCACCATGACCAAGAGGAAGTGGGTGTCAACTTTTGAGAGAAAAAAAAATGCCGCTTAGGCCCTCAAAATGGGTAGAGTGGATAGTGACCAATGCAATTTCGCCTGCTTATCTTTAAGATAAAGTATTTAATTGCAAATGATTTGAGAATTTAAACTCGTTCTAGCATTCTATAAAGGAGCAAGTTTATACAAGATTGCAACCTTATACTATAAAAGTAAGGTGCAATCTCAAAAATCTAATATAAAAGAGTGTTCCAAAGTTGGAAACCTTCTCTTCTTGGCCTTGCGATGTGTAAAAATAAAGAAAAAAACAAAATCTCGAATCCTAAAAATAGTGCATATCATAACAAATTATTTGGATAGTCTATTTTCAAGTTTTTTCAAATATTTACAAATACACTCGATCTGCATCTTTTTTTAAATTTTAAATTTTATAATTGAGCTCAAAATTTTCAAGTTATGATAAGGTTTCTAACACCAAAACCATAACTTCCGACAAATTTAAAGGCACGTCTGATTTATATGGTGTACAGTGGGCACCTTACGCAAACCTCCCTCTTGTATAAAATATCAAGTAACTCTATGGTATGTAAAAAATGAGTGGTTGGGATGTCTCATTTCTTCATGCAATGATTAAAAGAAATATTCTTCGACTCCAACCAAGGTCAATAGTACCCTCCAAGCAATCGAATTCCACTCAAAGTCCCTTTATTTTTATTTATTTATTTATTTTTTTTTTTTGAAAAAAGCATTTATTTCACATAATGGTTACTTATGACTTGTTGAACAAATGGTAAATAGTCTTATTATCACTATTAGTTAATGTTAACGAGCTTTTCATTGAGAATATATAAAAAGTACAATAAAGTGAGCAAGAGAAATGGAAAAAAAATAGAAAAAAAAGAGGAAAATAGATAGATATAGGGAAAAAGAACTGACAGAAAAGAAAACAACAAAGGTGTTGAGGTGAAAGGGACAGCAAAAGAAACTGAAAACAAAGAAGAGGGGGTTGAAGCCTAAAGCCTAGACATCAATTGCATCATGCTCTGTTTGGCCAAAGAGTCAGCCATTCATTTCCTTATTGATGTGAGTGAAAAGTATTTCTTGGCCTTCAAGCTTAATCATGACATCATCTATAATTTGAGTCCACCACCACAAAGTTGTTTTTGGAGATTTGCACCACCCTATGACATTTAAGGCTTGTTTGATAACTGGAAACAAGTTCATGCACTGTAAGTTGGAAGTTCTTGAAGAGTTATATATTAAAAGTTACTTAAGAAGTTTATGGTTTATGTGTTTGATAACTTCTCTGGGAAGTTAAGAAGTTCGTAGTTTATGTGTTTGATAACTCTTGGGATATATGGTAAATATCTTATATTGCATAAATATATATTTTATTTAAGATATAATATAGAATAATATATAATATAGTGTATTTTCTATTTATTTTATTATATAATATATATTATATAATAAAATATATTATCTTACATAAATTTATAATATATATAACATAATAATGTTATTTTTATTTATTTTACTATTATATATTTACATAAAATATTATAGTATATTGTACATTGTATTTTATATTTATTCTATTAAAATATATTTTTGTTATATAATATTATAAATATCTATTATACTTTATAATATTTATAACATACTATAGTATATAATATATTGTATTTTCATATATATATATATATG